TCTAGGTCAATCCACAACAAGGACTCTTGATGCAATCAAGAGACAGAGTAAACATGAGATTTATGAGGCTGCTGCTGGCCTAACACAACACTGAATGCTACTTTATAGCAAATCTGTTTTTTTTTTTTTTTTTTTTTTTTTAACGTAGACTACATTCTAATGTAACGATAAAAAGTATAGCACACTGGGCTGGGCATGGTGGTGCACGCCTTTAATCCCAGCACTTGGAAGGCAGAGGCAGGTGGATCTTTGTGAGTTTGAGGCCAGCCTGGTCTACATAGTGAGTTCCAGGACAGCTGGGGCTACAAAGAGACCCTGTCTCAAAAAAAAAAAAAAAAAAAAAAAGACACACACACACACACACACAAAAGTATAGCATACTGATACTTTTATCTTGGGGGTAATCAATAGCTACTTAATTGCACTTAAAGCCCACTCAATGGGAGAAAACTCTTGTCTGTAAACCTAGCCAAATACACATTGCTGGAAAGGTCATAGATCTTAGAGAAAACCTCAAGGCTCTCATATCCTTAGACAAATATAATTTCTTACTAGGAGCAAAATATAGATCCTTAAATTTACAGACAAGTATCCCAGTCACCACCCATCAAAGTAGCTTCTTTTCCAACAGATAGAGATTATTACAGAGTCACACCACTGATCACACACAAAGATTCTCTGTGAATTGCTCAAGCCTAAGTGGCACATCTAGGATGCAACCTCTACACCTAAGACTCACAGAACATAGAACAAGGGATGAAGAGAACACTAATGCATCTTTTGATTCCCATCAATGAAGCTCTCTCATGAAACAGCGGGCCAGGAACACAAAAGGCCACAAATGGCCAAAACACAGAGAATAAGAGTCAGCAGAGTGTGGATCCTTGAACAGGACTTCTATATTGAGGTTCACCCACCCAGGATTCAGGGACCATTGTGGAAGAGGGGACGGAAAGATTGTTAAGAGCCAGGGAGGATGTACATGACCATACGGAAATAGCCTTACAGGCTCCTGGGACCCTTCTCATACAAACCTACAGCAATGGTGTCAGCATGCACAAGACCCATGCAAACTTAGGCAGACAAAAACTCGGCACACAACTGTGGAAATGAACAGCAGGCCCCGATCTTAGTCGAAGAATTATTGGCAGCTGATTACTGCTGGGTGAGGAAAAGCAGATCTTCTTGAAGAGACTCTAGATAGGCTGACTAAACCCTGGTGGATGAACTTGCACTGAGGGACATCTTGGGACACTAACTTTACATAATAGGCCTTAATATAAATGACAGAATGAATGAACTCCAGTGAAGGGCTGTGGGAGGGTGCCAAAGGGGAAGGGGGAAAGGGTATAAAGATGATTTTATGTATGAAAGACACAAAAATTCAATAAATTTTTTTTTTTTTTAAAGTATAGCATAGTACAGTATGATTGAGGGTTAGGACCTTGAGTCCACCCAACCTCCAGAGAAGAGAGGGAGGCTGCCAGTAGTGTTCAGTAATTTAATCAATCACACCTAAAAATGAAGTCCAATAAAAAACCTGACACCAATGCTCAGTGGAAAAACATTAATGTGTCAGGAGGAGGGCAAGTCTGAATACCTTGGGGATAGAAATTGGGCATTCAGAACCCTCCAACCCATGCCTGCCTTTTCATTTGGTTGTTCCTAATCTGTGTTCTTTGTAATGAAACTAATCACAAGCACAGTGCTTTCCAGAGTTCTATGAACCATTTTAGTGAATTAGCCAAACCAACAGAAATGGCATGTGGTTTGGAAACTCTTTGTAGTCAGCTGATTGCAAGTTCATGTAGCCTGGGATCCCTTAAACTTCTGATGAGTATCTAAAGTGAGTGCTTCCCCCACTGGAAAGCAGTGTAGAGAACTCCTAAAAAACTAAAAATGAACCTACCAAAGACCTGGTTGTACCACTCCTTGGCATATCTCCAAAGGGTATCCTATTGCAGAGATACTTGTGCAACCATGTTTGTTGCTGCTCTTTTCACAATAGCTAAGAGATGGAAACAGCCTAAGTGGATAATGAAAATGTGGTACATTTACACAATGGAGTTCTACTCAATGATAAGAAAGTTGAAATCATGAAATTCATAGGTAAATGGATGGAATTAGAAACGTTATACTAAGTCAAGTAACACAGACTCAGAAAAACAAATAATGTGTGCTCACCCTCATTTGTAGCTCCTAGCACCAAATCCTTGTATGTGAGTATATCCTGATGAAACTACAGGAACTAGGAAAATGGAAAGGAACCAGGGAGATAAAGGGAAAGTAGGAACCTAAAAGAGAAGAACAGTAGAAGAAAGGTAAAGGGAGAACTGGGTAAAATAGGGATACTTAAATGGGAGTGGGGAGGGAGGGTTATATAAAGAACTATGGGGATAAAGGGGAAGAAGGAGCCCAAGAGAGAAGGGACCACAGGAGACTGGCATTATCAAGGGAGAAATGGGGAAAATGGGGATACTTTAAATGGAGAGGGCATGGAGGGAGGGCTAGAGAGAGGGGAGGGAGGGAAGCGAGATAAATAATGCCTAGCTAGTGCAAAAAACCAGGGGGAATCATAGTACAAAAACCTATCAACAAATTAGAATACAATATCCCTACACGAGTAGGCTATATAACAAGAAACTGTCAGACAGGAAAAACCTTCCTTTGAGTTGTTGGTCAGGGTAGTTCAAGAGACTCCTAAAATTACACAAGCTATTGCTATAGCCCTTGATTGCCTCCCAGAGCTTGAAGGTAAGACCCTATTGCTGAATAAAGGACATACTTCAGACACAGAATTTGGAGCAATGGAGCTGGAAATGACCTGGAAGCCACTTCCCCTGAAGGCTAGTTCTCATAGCTTTGGAGAGCACTATACAAGCTGCTAAGGGAGAACATCAATCGATCTTCCAATCCCAGCTTCAAGGTCTAATGACCACATCAATAACTGGCACAGCAAATGGCATTGGTGTAGTAGTGGCATGTCTATCTTGGGGGTAATCAACTTCTACCTAATTGGACTTAAAGTCCACTAAATGGGAGGAAACTCATGTGATACTGTAAACATAGCCAAATGCATATGGTTGGAGGGGTCATGGATCTTAGAGAAAACCCCAAGGCTGTCACATCCCTAGACAAATGTAATTTCTTGCTATGTGCAAAATATGGCTCTTTATATTTACAGACAAGTATCCCAGTTATCACTCATCAAAGAAGCTTCTTTTGCAACAGATGGAGACTATTACAGAGTTCCACAACTGGTCACAAACAGACATTGTCTATGAATTACTCAAGCCTAACTGGCAGGATGCAAGATCTACACCTAAGGCTCATGGAACATAAAACAAGAGGTAAAGAGGACACTAATGCATTTCTCAGTTCTCATCAATGGAAGCTCCTTCATGCAACAGGAACACAAAAGGTCAGTGTAGAGAGTAACAGTTTGCAGAGTGTGGGTTATTGGACAAGCCTCCTATATTAAGCTCTATCCACCCAGAGCTCAGGGACCACTGCAGAAGAGGGAGTGGAAAGATTGTAAGAGCCAGGGAGGAGGTATGTGATCATATGGAAATAAGAGTCCTACAGGCACCTGGGTTCTTGGTCATATGAACCTACAGCAATGGTGTTAGCATGAGGAAGATCTATGTAAACTCAAGCAGGCAAAATTCCAGCACAGAACTGTGGAAATGGGCATCAGGCCCCAATCTTAGTCGAGGAATTATTAGCAGTTGATTACTGCTGGGTAAGGAAGAGCTGACCTTCTTAAAGGGAGGGACTCTAGATAGGATGACTAGACCTGAGTGGATGAACTTGCACTGAGGGAATGCCTGGGGACACTAGACACGATAGGCCTTAACACAAATGACAGAATGTATGAATTCCAGTGGGGGTGGCAATGGGTGGGTACCAACAGGGAAGGGGGTACAAAGATGATCAAGATTAAGATGGTCTGTATGAAATACTCGAAAATTCAATAAAAAATTTACAACAAAATTTAAAATCTTAAAAAAAAATAAAGTGGGGATAGCCATGTTGGGGGCTGTCTTAAACCTGTAAAGTCTAACTCTCTGTGATTACTATCAGAAATGAATGGAAGTACAGCAGCTATTGGAGTAATTGAGGCTGGAAACAGAATTAACAATTCTCTAAGCTTCTTCTTTTTTTTTTTAAGGCATTCTTCTCTCCCTCCTTCCCTTCCCCCTTTCCTCTCTCTCTCTTTCCCTTCCCCCTCTTTCCCACCCCCTTCTTTCCTTTTGTGTATGCTACAGTATGCATGTGGAGGTCAGAGGAAAACCTGTGGGATTTGGTTCTCTCTTTCCACTATCTGGGACCTGCAGACTGAACTCAGGTGATCAGGCTTGGTGGCACATCCATTAAACCATTGGTCCCTTTGTCTTGTGTTTTTAAAAAAATATATTTTATTTATTAATTTTATTTTATGTATATGAGTGTATTGCCTGCATGTATGGGAGTGTACCCTTGTCGTGCAATGTCTATGGAGGTCAAAGAGGGCTTCGGATTCCCCTGGAACTGGAGTTAAGGATGGTTTGTAGCTGCCATGTGGGTGCTGGGAATCGAACCCGGTGCTCTGCAAGAGCAGTCAGTGCTCTTAACCGCTGAGCCATCTCTCCAGCCCCACTTTGTCATTTTTAATACTCAAAAGTGAAAAAGCAAAAACTGCCTAAGATGTACAGTTAACGGGTTAGTAGAGAGAAGGGCATCTGCAGTAGTTTGTTGCCTATAGTCTTGCCAGTCCGAAATTATCAACAGTATTAAGCATAAATATAATTTCGGCATTTTACGAATTTACTCTTTGCTCTGCTAGAACAACCACAGTCCATCTCTGATGTCAGGCATCATTTAAAAAAAAGTTTTACTGGTTGGTATATGAAAGTGTGGATCCAACCCACGGAATTTAATTTATATAACCAACAGCTGTGGGTATTTTGATGAGCTTTCAGATTAAAATCAGTAACATTTAAAGCCAGTTAATGGCAAACCTGTTTCCGAGGAATTCCTCACTGCAAAACATACAAATGCCACGAAAGCTGGTATCATTTCGCTCTTGTTGCTGTTGCTCCAGAATTTCTTTCTGTAAATTTTAAACAGATTTATAAGATTATCATTAATAACTGCAGTTATTTCTTTCTGTAAATTTTAAACAGGTTTATAAGATTATCTTTAATAACTGCAGTTATTTCTTTCTGTAAATTTTAAACAGATTTATAAGATTATCTTTAATAACTGCAGTTAGTGAATGAAAAATGCCAATCAGAATGAGAAGAAACAGTATAAAAGTGAAAAACTAACATGTGAAAGCTATTCGCATTTCATATCTCCATTCTTGTGTTGCATGGACACTCCAAGTCTGCACATTACACAACAAAAGACCACTCCGCTTACATGGCAGTGCAAGAAACTCAGTCAGCAAGAGAAGCTCTTACCACCCTTCCTTAACCTTCCTTTGGTCTTTGTCGTGTCCTCACTCTCACATCACATGGAAATGTTTAGGTTCTTTGACTTATTCTTATCACTACATCTCCATTTAGCTTGTAACCAAGTTCTGATCATTTAATTTCTCTCACTACCACCAATGGGAGTTTAGGTTTTGTTATATTATTATGAGATTACTATAAATAAATCTTTAGAGCTACCCTGATCACAATTTCTTTTCTGTTATAGATGTCTATCAAAAGGAGAAAAACTTTTATTAAACACTGTTTTCATGTACAATTAATTATCTTGTTATACAGCAACTCAAATGCTTAAAATGCTTTATTAAGTCTGGCGCTAATTGGGGTTCTACACACTGTCTTTTCTGGAGGTCAGTTTGTTCCCTTCCCTTTTTCAATTTATAAATATGTAGTTGCTCACCAAGATCCAATCTGATTCCTCTTTCCGACTACAATACATCAGCTAAGACTACACTAAAGTACTGAGAAGATCTGGACTGGAAACATGAATTTCTATTATTAGTATTTTATTATCTCCATAATACCTACTTAAAACTAACAAAAAGTTGGTTATTTTATTTTATTATTGAGTTATTGTGCATTTAATATATCTTAATCAAATTTAGAACCTCTCTCTGCTCCCCCCCCCAGTAGATTTCAGGTATTCTGTCATAGATGTTAAATCCTATCTGGTCAAGCATTTGTACCTGGATGTCCCTTGGTGCAAGTTCATCCACTGGAGTCCAGTCAGCCTATCTAGAGTCACTCCCTTGAAAAGTTTATTTTTATTTTATGTATATAAGTGTTTTGCTTACATGTACATTAGTGCATTCATGCATGCAAAGCCTGCAGAGGCCAGAAGAGTGTGTTGGATCCCCTGGAACTGGAGTTATGGGTGGTTGTTGGTTGCCATGTGGGTGCTGGGAACTGAACCTGGTTCCTCTGAAAGAGCATCCAGTGCTCTTAACCACTGTGCCATCTCTCCAGCCCCTCATAATACTTACTTTTAAGGTACGAATAAAAATGCTATCTTTTGGGTTGGGCATGGTGGAGCATGCCTGTAATTTCAGCACTCAGAATTTCAGTCTCTGAGGATCACAAGTGGGAGGCTAACCTTGGCTATCTAGAGAGTTCAGGCTAGCTTGGGTCATACAGCAGGACCTTGTCTCAAATACAAAACAACAAAACCCAAACAGAAAACCCAAATAATAAAAGTACACAAAACACCATCTCACAGTATTGTTGATAAAATTAACTCAGATAACTTATGCAAGAGTTTAAGTTGTACATGGGTCACTAAACACTGGATACTACTATTTCTAACCCACATAGATTCTTATTGCTTATTACTCATTAGCTCAGGTGATTGTTGCCTGTTTTATCTTCTGGAGGGAAACGAAGTCTTCCAGAAGTCACAATGCTATTCTCGAATCACATCTGCATCCTTCTTTAAATTTCCTTATATCATAGAGCTCCCAATAGGACCTTTATCTTATTGCTCATCTACAAAAGCTCAGAGAACAGCATAAAAGGAGACAGTGTCTAAAGTCTTAAGCTATGCTATATAGCATTCCTGGAAATGTATCATCAGACATCTAGAAATATTCTTTCAAGAGAAAAATGATGAAGCTATTTTAACAAAAATCAGTTCAGTAAACTTCTGACTTCCATCAATGAATAATGGATATCAAGCTTATTATTTCACGGTAAACTACTATAAAACAAATCGTTTTACATATTTTATCTGTTTTTAGGTTTTGGATAATAGCATAGGGATGTGCTCTTTGAGAGAAAAAAATTACACATTAACAGTTTACTGCTAGGAAATATTTTTCAAACTGTAACACAGGATAACTGAACACTACTGAAGAGTGGTGTTCAGAGGGGGGAAAAAGTTCAGGAAAAAAGTTCAGGATGTTAAAGTTGGTGGAATTTGTGGTATACACAGCACAGAGAATAAGAGTCTGCAAAAGTGTGGGTCCTTGGACAGGACTCCTATATTAAACTCCATGCAGTCAGGGCTCAGGGACCACCGTGGAAGAGGGGGTGGAAAGATTTTTAAGATCCAGGGAGGAGGTGCACATATGGAAATAGAGTCCTACAGGCTCCTGGGACCTTGCCATATGAACCTACAGCAATGGTGTCAGCATGCACAAGACCTATGCAAACTCAACCAGACAAAAACTCAACACTGAACTGTTTAAATGGACAGCAGACCTCAATCTTAGCCGAAGAACTATTGGCAGCTGATTACTGCTGGGTGAGGAACAGCTGATCTTCTTTAAGGGAGGGACTCTAGATAGGCCGACTAGATCTCAGTGGATGAACTTGCACTGAGGGATTTTTGGAGACACTAACTTGACTCAATAGGCCTTAACACAAATGAAAGAATGCCTAAAACCCAGTGTGTGTGTTTTGGACCAATGGAGAAGGGGATATAAAGATGATTAAGATGGTCTGTATGAAATACTCAAAAATTCAATAAAAAATTTACAAAGAAAAATAAAATAGTAAGAATGAAGAGTGCTGTAGAGAAGGACTCAGCAGGCACGCATTGGGAGTCTTACTTTTTGGCCCAGTACTAAGCTACATATTCTGTTAGGTCCAACAGAAGAGTTTCTAAGCTATGGGACTTAAGAGGTTCTAGAAGTTTTAGAATTGCAAGATACTGGAGTTCTGACAGAACAGAAATGCCTGATTCAATGCTTCATACATACAGCAAATACAAAAAGGCACTTTTTAGTCCACGGAGGTTAGTTAGGCTTTTCTGTCTGAGAAAGTCGTCACAGATACAAGGAAAAAAATTCAAAAGAACAAGATTAATATATCAGAAAATTAATTTTTTTGAGACAGTATTACTATGTAGGTCAAACAGAACTCAACCTTGTGATCTTGCCTTAGCCTCACAAATGCTAGAAATATAGGCATGCCACCACCATACCTGGCATTAACTGTTTTTTTTTTTTTTAAAAAAAAGCTTAAGTCATTTTTACATAAATACAAGTTGTCAGCAAAAGAAGAGAGGTACTAGAAAAAGAAAACTAAATCTGTGAGTTGGAAGATAGCCTGGTCTATACAGTGAGTTCCAGACCAGGGCTACATAGTTTGACCTCTCTCTCTCTCTCTCTCTCTCTCTCTCTCTCTCAGAAACAGCATTTGAATGCATGTTTCTCAGGCTTATGACGATTTTAACCCCAATTTTGTTCAGAGGAAAAGAAATCTTACTTAGCTTAACAGATTCATTTTGATTTAGTGCAAATAGAAAGGATTTTATGAGTGATTCTAAGTCAAGTAAGGTTTTCTCTGGCTAAAATTAAGTTCTACTGGTGGAATCTGAATTGCACAACCAAAAAGTGTTGGCAACTCAAGTTATTTATAAACTGATTATTCTTAAGAGAGCCAAATTTGCACTAAATTAGTAAATTGGAGGCAGTACTGAATAGACATGGCAATAAAGTAAGAAGATGCCTAGTCAGCAAAGTGCCCAAACCATGCTGTTCTTTCACTTTTCAGTTCTGGAACAATCTCATACAGTGATGAAGTGGGTGTATATATGTTAGTAAGAGAGACATGGTTCTGACCATGCACAAGCTGTCCTTGGGGATCTTTCACAGACTTTGTAACTGACATGATTATTTTCAAGTCAAACTCCTAAGTTGCCCTGTAAGTCAAATTCACTGCTGGGAGGTGCATGTGGCATTCAATTCCCTCCTCCCACGGTCCTTTTGACAGCCTGAGGAAAAAAATTCTCCAAACCCCAGTTTGAAGAATCTTAATGAGTTTATTGGACTTGCTAAATGAGCTTGGGGTGCGGGTTTACTTATAGACAAGTGGGTACCCCCCATTCACAGCTGATGCTGAAATTCCACACCCAGACATAAATCCTGTCGTTCCAGATAGACTTACAAAATGGCCAGGCCTCCCTCGTGGTTTTCCCAGCTTTTATACCCTTAGCCCCTCCCCTGCAAGTGGTTTCTTTGCAGAGCGTGGGAAGGAGGCGGGTCCATGGCTTGTCATCACAGGGTGAGAGGAACATCTTCCGGGTCACACACCTTCTCTTATATCTTTGGTTATTTCTCAAAGTTTTTCCAGTATATAGTAATTGTACAAAATAATGAACTTCAACGTAGCATTTTCATACATGCATGTAACATACTTTGATGATAGTCATCCTACAAGTACCTTCTTCTATCCATTTTCCTACCAGCTTTTCTCCCCATTCCACCTTCTGTTTCTCAGACAGGGTCTAACTATGTTCTTCAGGTTGGCCTTGAATTCCTGGAGTTAACTGATCCTTCTGCCTCAGCACCCTGAGTACTGAGAACTATAGGTGAATGCCACCATGCCTGGCCTTGCCTACACTCTTTAAAATCCCTCTAAAGGGCTGGTGTGATGGCTCAGTGGTTAGGAGTATATACTGCTCTTCTAGAGGACTGGAGTTTGGTTCCCAGCACCCACACAGGTGGCTTACAACATTCTGTAACTCCAGCTTCAGGGGACCCAATATCTCTGGTTTCCATGGCCCCCCCCCCCCCCATACATATGCATGATCACATACACAAACAAATATAAAACAATAAAACAAACAAAAAAAATCCCCCCTAAAGACATTCCATGCTCATGGACTGACAGAATGAAT